ACCACAGGGTGCTCATCTTCTCCCAGGTGGGACCCCAAAATCACCCCAAAACCATCCCAAAATATCCCAAAATACCCCAAACCCAGCCCCAGAACCACAGGGTGCTCATCTTCTCCCAGGTGGGACCCCAAAATACCCCAAAATATCCCAAAATACCCCAAAACCACACCCAGAACCACAGGGTGCTCATCTTCTCCCAGGTGGGACCCCAAAATCACCCCAAAACCATCCCAAAATATCCCAAAATACCCCAAACCCAGCCCCAGAACCACAGGGTGCTCATCTTCTCCCAGGTGGGACCCCAAAACATCCCCCCAGAGACCCCCAAAATCTCCCAGTCTGCCCAGTGCCAATCCCAGCGCTCCCAGTGTGCCCAGTACAGGGTCTCCAGCCTGTACCAGTGCCTCCCAGTGCCTCCCAGTGCCTCCCAGTGCCTCCCAGTGGCTCCCAGTGGCTCCCAGTGCCTCCCAGTGTGCCCAGTACAGGGTGTTCAGCTTCTCCCAGTCCCTCCCAGTGCCACCCAGTCCCTCCCAGTCCCTCCCAGTGCCTCCCAGTCCCTCCCAGTCCCTCGCAGTCGCTCCCAGTCCCTCCCAGTCCCTCCCAATGCCTCCCAGTGCCTCCCAGTGCCTCCCAGTCCCTCCCAGTGCCTCCCAGTCCCTCCCAGTCCCTCGCAGTCGCTCCCAGTCCCTCCCAGTCCCTCCCAATGCCTCCCAGTGCCTCCCAGTCCTTCCCAGTCCCTCCCAGTGCCTCCCAGTCCCTCGCAGTCGCTCCCAGTCCCTCCCAGTGTGCCCAGTACAAGGTCTCCAGCCTGTACCAGTGCCTCCCAGTCCCTCCCAGTCCCTCCCAATGCCTCCCATTCGCTCCCAGTCCCTCTCATTCGCTCCCAGTCCCTCCCAGTCCCTCCTAGTTCCTCCCAGTCGCTCCCAGCCTCTCCCAGTCCCTCCCAGTGCCCCCCAGTCCCTCCCAGTGCCCCCCAGTCCCTCCCAGTGCCTCCCAGTCGCTCCCAGTGGCTCCCAGTCTGACCAGTACGCGCAGATGACGAAGATGCTGGACCTGCTGGAGGATTTCCTGGACTACGAGGGCTACAAGTACGAGCGCATCGACGGCGGCATCACCGGGGCCCTGCGGCAGGAGGCCATCGACCGCTTCAACGGTAGGGACAGGGGACAGGGACGGGGACAGGGATGGGGACAGGGGATGGGGACAGGGACAGGGATGGGGATGGGGACAGGGACAGGGATCTGTTTCCTGCTGTCGACGCGGGCCGGGGGCCTCGGCATCAACCTGGCGACGGCCGACACCGTGGTCATCTTCGACTCGGACTGGAACCCCCACAACGACATCCAGGTGGGCACCTGGGCACTGTCACCCGGCCAGTGCCACCTGTGCAGTGCCATCCTCTGGTACTGTCACCTGGGCACTGTCACCCGGCCAGTGCCGCCTGTGCAGTGCCATCCTCTGGTACTGGGCACCTGGGCACTGTCACCTGGGCACTGTCACCTGTGCAGTGCCATCCCCAGCACTGTCACCCGGCCAGTGCCACCTGTGCAGTGCCATCCCCCAGCACTGTCACCTGGCCAGTGCCACCTGTGCAGTGCCATCCCCCAGCACTGTCACCCGGCCAGTGCCACCTGGCCAGTATCACCTGTGCAATGCCATCCCCAGCATTGGGCACCTGGACAGTGTCACCTGTGCAGTGTCACCCTCCCTAGCTACTTGTCTCCCCTGATTGCCAAGTCCCTGAGGTGTCCCTATGATGTCCCCACGATGTCCCCTCCCTGTCAGGCCTTCAGCCGCACTCACCGCATCGGCCAGGGTGTCCCCTCATATCCTTGGGGTGTCCCCCATCCCATGTGACATGTCCCTGGTGTGTCCCCATCCCATGTGACACGTTCCTGTTGTGTCCCCATGCCATGTGACACATCCCTGCTCTGGCCCCCTGGGCACTGCCACCCAGCCGGTGCCACCTGTGCAGTGCCATCCTCAGCACCGGGCACCTGGCTGGTGTCACCTGCTCAGCCATGTCACCTGGCCAGTGTCACCCTCCCTAGCTCCTTGTCTCCCCTGATTGCCAAGTCCCTGACCTGTGTCCACCATGTCCCCACGATGTCCCCATCCCCACAGGCCTTCAGCCGGGCTCACCGCATGAGCCAGGGTGTCCCCTCATGTCCCTGGGGTGTCCCTGGTGTGTCCCCATCCCATCTGACACGTCCCTGGTGTGTCCCCATCCCATCTGACACGTCCCTGGTGTGTCCCCATCCCATCTGACACATCCCTGGTGTGTTGCCTCATGTCCCCGCGATGTCCCTGACCTGTCCCCTCCCTCTCAGGCCTTCAGCCGCGCTCACCGCATCAGCCAGGGTGTCCCCTCATGTCCCTAGGGTGCTCCCTATCCCATCTGACATGTCCCTGGTGTGTCCCCATGCCATGTGACACGTCCCTGGTGTGTCCCCATGCCATGTGACATGTCCCTGCTGTGTCCCCATCCCATCTGACGTGTCCCTGCTGTGTCCCCATCCCATCTGACACGTCCCTGCTCTGTCCCCATCCCATCTGACGTGTCCCCTCACGTCCCCACGATGTCCCTGACCTGTCCCCTCCCTGCCAGGCCTTCAGCCGCGCTCACCGCATCGGCCAGGCCAACAAGGTGATGATTTACCGCTTCGTGACGCGGGCCTCGGTGGAGGAGCGGATCACGCAGGTGGCCAAGCGCAAGATGATGCTGACGCACCTGGTGGTGCGCCCGGGGCTGGGCTCCAAGGCCGGCTCCATGTCCAAGCAGGAGCTCGACGACATCCTCAAGTTCGGCACCGAGGAGCTCTTCAAGGACGAGAACGAGGGTGGGCCCCGCGCGGCACGGGCTGGGATGGACGTGTTGGGCTGAGCTGGGCTGAAGGCCCGGCTCCATGTCCAAGCAGGAGCTCGACGACATCCTCAAGTTCGGCACCGAGGAGCTCTTCAAGGACGAGAACGAGGGTGGGCCCCGCGCGGCACGGGCTGGGATGGACGTGTTGGGCTGAGCTGGGCTGAGCTGGGCTGGACTGGGTCGTGTTGTGTTGGACTGGGCTGAGCTGGGCTGGACTGGGCTGAGCTGGGCTGGATTGGGCTGAGCTGGGCTGGGATGGGCCGTGTTGGGCTGGACTGGGCTGAGCTGGGCTGGACTGGGTTGTATTGGGTTGTGTTGGGTTGGACTGGGCTGAGCTGGGCTGGGATGGGCCGTGTTGGGCTGGACTGGGCTGAGCTGGGTTGGACTGGGTCGTGTTGGGTTGGACTGGGCTGTGCTGGGCTGGACTGGGCTGGGACGGGACGCATTGGGCTGCACTGGGCTGAGCTGGGCTGGACTGGGCTGAGCTGGGTTGGACTGGGCCGTGTTGGGCTGCACTGGGCTGAGCTGGGCTGGACTGGGCTGAGCTGGGCTGGGATGGGCCGTGTTGGGCTGCACTGGGCTGAGCTGGGTTGGACTGGGCTGTGCTGTGTTGGACTGGGTCGTGTTGGGCTGGACTGGGCTGTGCTGGGTTGGACTGGGTCGTGTTGGGTTGGACTGGGCTGAGCTGGGTTGGACTGGGCTGAGCTGGGCTGGACTGGGTCGTGTTGGGTTGGACTGGGCCGGGCCATGTCGGGCCATGTTGGGGTGTGACAAAGCCATGTCACATCACCTTGGAGCGCGTCCGGCTGTGTCCCAGCGCGTGTGACACGGCGTGGCCACGCAGGGGACAACAAGGAGGAGGACAGCAGCGTCATCCACTACGACAACGAGGCCATCGCGCGGCTGCTGGACCGCAACCAGGACGCCACCGACGACGCCGACGTGCAGAACATGAACGAGTACCTGAGCTCCTTCAAGGTGGCCCAGTACGTCGTCAGGGAGGAGGACAAGGTGTGCTGGGGACACTGGGGACAGCGGGGACACTGGGGACACTGGGGGGACACTGGGGACATGAGGGGACACTGGGGGGACACTGGGGACACGGGCATGGTGGGGCTGGGGAGCCTGGAGGGGATGGACGAGTACCTGAGCTCCTTCAAGGTGGCCTGGCACGTTGTCAGGGAGGAGGACAAGGTGTGCTGGGGACACTGGGGTGACACTGGGGACTCCCTGCTCTGTCCCCATCCCATCTGACGTGTCCCCTCACGTCCCCACGATGTCCCTGACCTGTCCCCTCCCTGCCAGGCCTTCAGCCGCGCTCACCACATCGGCCAGGGTGTCCCCTCATGTCCTTGGGGTGTCCCTGCTGTGTCCCCATCCCATCTGACATGTCCCTGCTGTGTCCCCATCCCATCTGACGTGTCCCTGGTGTGTCCCCATGCCATGTGACACATCCCTGGTGTGTTGCCTCATGTCCCTGGTGTGTCCCTGGTGTGTCCCCACGATGTCGCTGACCTGTCCCCTCCCTGCCAGGCCTTCAGCCGCGCTCACCGCATCGGCCAGGCCAACAAGGTGATGATTTACCGCTTCGTGACGCGGGCCTCGGTGGAGGAGCGGATCACGCAGGTGGCCAAGCGCAAGATGATGCTGACGCACCTGGTGGTGCGCCCGGGGCTGGGCTCCAAGGCCGGCTCCATGTCCAAGCAGGAGCTCGACGACACCCTCAAGTTCGGCACCGAGGAGCTCTTCAAGGACGAGAACGAGGGTGGGCCCCGCGCGGCACGGGCTGGGATGGACGTGTTGGGCTGAGCTGGGCTGAGCTGGGCTGGACTGGGTCGTGTTGTGTTGGACTGGGCTGAGCTGGGCTGGACTGGGCTGAGCTGGGCTGGATTGGGCTGAGCTGGGCTGGGATGGGCCGTGTTGGGCTGGACTGGGCTGAGCTGGGTTGGACTGGGCCGTGTTGGGCTGGGATGGGCTGAGCTGGGCTGCACTGGGTTGTGTTGGGTTGGATTGGGTTATTCTGGGCTGCACTGGGCTGTGCTGGGTCGGACTGGGTTGGACTGGGCTGAGCTGGGCTGGACTGGGCTGTGCTGGGTTGGACTGGGCTGAGCTGGGTTGGACTGGGCTGAGCTGGGCTGGACTGGGCTGTGCTGGGTTGGACTGGGCTGAGCTGGGCTGCACTGGGCTGAGCTGGGTTGGACTGGGCTGAGCTGGGCTGGAGTGGGGCGTGTTGGGTTGGACTGGGCCGGGCCATGTCGGGCCATGTTGGGGTGTGACAAAGCCATGTCACATCACCTTGGAGCGCGTCCGGCTGTGTCCCAAGGGGAATGGGGACAGTGGGATTGGGGACAGTGGGATTGGGGACAGTGGGATGGGGACAGTGGGATTGGGGACAGCGGGATTGGGGACAGCGGGATGGGGACAGCGGGATGGGGACAGTGGGACAGGGACAGTGACATGGGAACGGGAATGGAGACAGTGGGATTGGGAATAATGGGATGATGGGGTTGGGGACTCTGGAGAGGATGGAGATGATGGGGACAGTGGAGATGGAGATGATGATGATGGAGATAGGGATGATGATGATGAGGATGATGATGATGAAAATTATGAAGATGGGAATGGTGGAGACAGAGATGATGGAGATGGGGATGATGATGATGAGGATGGTGGAGATGATGCTGGAGATGATGATGCTGGAGACACCAAGGACAGGGGCACTGTGCTGACAACTGGGTGACCCCAGATGGTCCTGGGTGACCCCGGGTGACCCTGGGTGACCCCGAGTGACCCCGAGTGTCCGGCAGATCGAGGAGATCGAGCGGGAGATCATCAAGCAGGAGGAGAACGTGGACCCCGACTACTGGGAGAAGCTGCTGCGGCACCACTACGAGCAGCAGCAGGAGGACCTGGCCCGCAACCTGGGCAAGGGCAAGCGCGTGCGCAAGCAGGTCAACTACAACGACGCCGCCCAGGAGGACCAAGGTGGGCACTGGGGGCACTGGGATGGCACTGGGAAGGACTGGGATGGCACTGGGAAGGACTGGGATGGCACTGGGAGGGACTGGGAGGGACTGGGATGGAGCCTGGGCAAGGGCAAGCGCGTGCGCAAGCAGGTCAACTACAATGATGCCGCCCAGGAGGACCAAGGTGGGCACTGGGATGGCACTGGGAGGGACTGGGATGGCACTGGGGGCACTGGGATGGCACTGGGAGGGACTGGGATGGGACTGGGATGGAGCCTGGGCAAGGGCAAGCGTGTGCACAAGCAGGGCAACTACAACGCCGCCGCCCAGGAGGACCAAGGTGGGCACTGGGGGCACTGGGACAGACTGGGATGGCACTGGGAGTGGGGACACTGGGGGGACACTGGGGACACGGGCATAGCAGGGTTGAGATGCCTGGAGGGGATGAAAGAGTATTTGAGCTCCTTCAAGGTGGCCCAGTACGTCGTCAGGGAGGAGGACAAGGTGTGCTGGGGACACTGGGGGGACACTGGGGACACTGGGGGGACACTGGGGACACGAGCATGGTGGGGCTGGGGAGCCTGGAGGACACTGGGGACACTGGGGGGACACTGGGGGACACAGGCATGGAGGGGATGGAGGGATGTTGGGTAGGTGGAGGACGTGGAGACATTGGAGAGGGAAGTGATGGGGACAGTGGGATGGGACAATGGGACAGGGACAGTGACATGGGAACAGGGGAATGGGGACAGTGGGATTGGGGACAATGGGAATGGGGACAATGGGATTGGGGACAGTGACATGGGAACAGGGGAATGGGGACAGTGGGATTGGGGACAATGGGAATTGGGGACAATGGGATTGGTGACAGTGACATGGGAACAGGGGAATGGGGACAGTGGGATTGGGGACAATGGGAATGGGGACAATGGGATTGGGGACAGTGACATGGGAACAGGGGAATGGGGACAGTGGGATTGGGGACAATGGGAATTGGGGACAATGAGAATGGGGACAGTGACATGGGAACAGGGGAATGGGGACAGTGGGATTGGGGACAATGGGAATGGGGACAATGGGATTGGGGACAGTGACATGGGAACAGGGGAATGGGGACAGTGGGATTGGGGACAATGGGAATTGGGGACAATGGGATTGGTGACAGTGACATGGGAACAGGGGAATGGGGACAATGTGAATGGGGACATTGGGATTGGGAACAATGGGATTGGGGACAGTGGGATTGGGGACAATGGGAATGAGGACAGTGGGATTGGGGACAGTGACATGGGGACAGGGGAATGGGGACAGTGGGATTGGGGACAATGGGAATGGGGACAATGGGGTTGGGGACAGTGGAATTGGGGACAATGGGATGGGGACAATGGGATGATGGAGCTGGGGACTCTGGAGAGGATGGAGATGATGGGGACAGTGAGGATGATGATGGAGGTGATGAAAATCGTGAAGATGAGAACAGTGGAGACAGAGATGATAATGATGGAGATGGGGATGATGATGAGGATGATGATGATGAAAATTATGAAGATGGGAATGGTGGAGACAGAGATGATGATGATGGAGATGGGGATGGTGATGATGATGATGCTGGAGATGATGATGATGGTGATGCTGGAGACACCAAGGACAGGGGCACTGTGCTGACAACTGGGTGACCCCAGATGGTCCTGGGTGACCCCGGGTGACCCTGGGTGACCCCGAGTGACCCCGAGTGTCCGGCAGATCGAGGAGATCGAGCGGGAGATCATCAAGCAGGAGGAGAACGTGGACCCCGACTACTGGGAGAAGCTGCTGCGGCACCACTACGAGCAGCAGCAGGAGGACCTGGCCCGCAACCTGGGCAAGGGCAAGCGCGTGCGCAAGCAGGTCAACTACAACGACGCCGCCCAGGAGGACCAAGGTGGGCACTGGGGGCACTGGGATGGCACTGGGAGGGACTGGGATGGGGTGGCACTGGGATGGCACTGGGACACACTGGGACACACTGGGGTGGCACTGAGTGTCCCCAACGCTGCCGTGTCCCCCAGACAACCAGTCCGAGTACTCGGTGGGCTCCGAGGAGGAGGACGAGGACTTTGACGAGCGGCCCGAGGGTGAGGGGACCCCGGGGGGGTCAGGGTGTCCCCAAGGGGGGGTCGGGGTGTCCCCAAGGGGGTCAGGGTGTCCCCAAGGAGGGTCAGGGTGGCCCAAGGGGGGTCAGGGTGTCCCCGGGGGGTGTCAGGGTGTCCCCTGGGGGGGTCAGGGTGTCCCCAGGGGTTTCAGGGTGTCCCAGGGAGGGGGTCAGGGTGGCCCAAGGAGGGTCAGGGTGTCCCCAGGGGTGTCATGGTGTCCCCAGGGGGGTCAGGGTGTCCCCAAGGGGGTCAGGGTGTACCTAAGGGAGGGCAGGGTGTCCCCAGGGGTGTCAGGGTGTCCCCAAGGAGGGTCAGGGTGGCCCCAAGGAGGGTTATGGTGGTCCAAGGAGGGTCAGGGTGTCCCCAGGGGGTGTCAGGGTGTCCCCAGGGGGGGTCAGGGTGTCCCCAGGGGGGTCGGGGTGCCCTGGGGGTGCTGACTGACCCCTCCCCTCCCCCAGGCCGGCGTCAGTCCAAGCGGCAGCTGCGGAACGAGAAGGACAAACCCCTCCCCCCACTGCTGGCCCGGGTGGGCGGCAACATCGAGGTGAGGGGACACGGGGATATCCCGGGGCTTGGGGACAGCCCAGGGGGCTTGGGGACATCCCCGGGGCTTGGGGACAGCCTGGGCTTGGGGACACCCCGGGGGGTTTGGGGACAGCCTGGGCTTGGGGACACCCCGGGGCTTGGAGACACCCTGGGGGGCTTGGGGACAGCCTGGGCTGGATCCCGGGGCTTGGGGACACCCCGGGGGGCTCGGGGACACCCCGGGGCTTGGGGACACCCCTGGAGCTTGGGGACATCCCCGGGGCTTGGGGACATCCCGGGGCTTGGGGACATCCTGGGGGCTTGGGGACATCCCGGGGGCTCGGGGACAGCCTGGGCTTGGGGACACCCCAGGGGGTTTGGGGACATCCTGGGAGACTTGGGGACAGCCTGGGCTTGGGGACACCCCGGGGCTGGGGGACACCCCGGGGGGCTCCGGGGCGAGCCCGCTCCGAGGAGGAGGACGAGGACTTTGACGAGCGGCCCGAGGGTGAGGGGACCCCGGGGGGGTCAGGGTGTCCCCAAGGGGGGGTCGGGGTGTTCCCAGGGGTTTCAGGGTGTCCCCAGGGGGGTCAGGGTGTCCCCAGGGGGGGGTCAAGGTGTCCCCAGGGGGGTCAGGGTGGCCCAAGGGGGGTCATGGTGTCCCCAGGGGGGGTCAGGGTGTCCCCAAGGGGGGGTCAAGGTGTCCCCAGGGGGGTCAGGGTGTCCCCAGGGGGGGGTCAAGGTGTCCCCAGGGGGGTCGGGGTGTCCCCAGGGGTGTCCCCAAGGGGGTGTCAGGGTGTCCCCAAGGGGGGGTCAGGGTGTCCCCAGGGGTTTCAGGGTGTCCCCAGGGGTGTCCCCAAGGGGGTGTCAGGGTGTCCCCAAGGGGGGGTCAGGGTGTCCCCAGGGGGGTCGGGGTGCCCTGGGGGTGCTGACTGACCCCTCCCCTCCCCCAGGCCGGCGTCAGTCCAAGCGGCAGCTGCGGAACGAGAAGGACAAACCCCTCCCCCCACTGCTGGCCCGGGTGGGCGGCAACATCGAGGTGAGGGGACACGGGGATATCCCGGGGCTTGGGGACAGCCCAGGGGGCTTGGGGACATCCCCGGGGCTTGGGGACATCCCGGGGCTTGGGGACATCCTGGGGGCTTGGGGACATCCCGGGGGCTCGGGGACAGCCTGGGCTTGGGGACACCCCAGGGGGTTTGGGGACATCCTGGGAGACTTGGGGACAGCCTGGGCTTGGGGACATCCCGGGGCTTGGGGACATCCTGGGGGCTTGGGGACATCCCGGGGGCTCGGGGACAGCCTGGGCTTGGGGACACCCCAGGGGGTTTGGGGACATCCTGGGAGACTTGGGGACAGCCTGGGCTTGGGGACACCCCGGGGCTGGGGGACACCCCGGGGGACTCGGGGACATCCCTGGGGCTTGGGGACACCCCTGGGCTTGGGGACACCTCGGGGGCTTGGGGACAGCCCGAGGCCACCTGGGTCACCTCCAGGTGGGGGTCAGGGGGTGCTCGGACACCCGAGTGACCCCTCAGCACCTGGGTCCCCAAACCAGAGGGTCAGGGGTCACCTGGAGCCCGCTGTGCCCCTGGCTGTGGGGACAAGGCACGGGGGGCTCCGGACAGACAGTGTCACCAGTGTCCCCTCCATGTCCCGTGTCCCCTCGATGTCCTCAGTGTCCCCAGTGTCCTCGATGTCCCCAGGTGCTGGGGTTCAACACGAGGCAGCGCAAGGCCTTCCTGAACGCTGTCATGCGCTGGGGGATGATGGCACAGTGTCCCCAGTGTCCCCTGTCACCCATGTCCCCAGTGTCCCCAGTGTCCCCAATGTCCCTGATGTCCCCAATGTCTCCAGTGTCCCCAGTGTCCCCAATGTCCCCAGTGTCCCTGATGTCCCCAATGTCCCTGATGTCCCCAGTGTCCCTGATGTCCCCAATGTCCCCTGTACCCCCAGGTGCTGGGGTTCAACACGAGGCAGCGCAAGGCCTTCCTGAACGCTGTCATGCGCTGGGGATGATGGCACAGTGTCCCCTGTCACCCATGGCCCCAGTGTCCCTGATGTCCCCAATGTCCCTGATGTCCCTGATGTCCCCAGTGTCCCTGATGTCCCCAGTGTCCCTGATGTCCCCGATGTCCCCAATGTCCCCCCAGGTGCTGGGGTTCAACACGAGGCAGCGCAAGGCCTTCCTGAACGCCGTCATGCGCTGGGGGATGCCCCCCCAGGACGCCTTCACGTCCCAGTGGCTCGTGCGGGACCTGCGGGGCAAAACCGAGAAGGAGTTCAAGTAGGTGACACCGGGGACACCTGGGGACACCTGGGGACACCTGGGAGGGGTGCTGGCACTGGGGAGGGGCAGCGGTGTCAAGGGTGGGCGGTGGCTTCAGGGACAGGCGGTGTCAAGGACAGGTGGCATTGGGGACAAGCAGTGGCATTGGGGACAGGCGGTGGCATTGGGGACAGGTGGTGTCAAGGACAGGTGGCATTGGGGACAGGTGGTGGCGTCAGGGACAGGCGGTGGCATCAGGGACAGGCGGTGTCAAGGACAGGTGGTGGCACTGGGGACAAGCGGTGGCACCAGGGACAGGTGGTGGCAGGGTAGTGAGGTGTCCGTGTGTCCCCATGTCCCCTCATCTCCCTGTGTGTCCCTGTGCCCTCCACTGTCCCATGTCCCCCGGTGTCCCCGATGTCCCCCGGTGTCCCCGTGCCACGTGATGAGCCCTTACTCAGCCGAGCGCCGTCGCTGTCGGTGTTCCTGGGGACCGGACGAGGCCGTGTCCCCCTCAGCCCGACACAAAGCCACCCCCGATGTCCCCGTGTCCCCTCGGGGGGCCGGGAGTGGCCCAGGGGACGCCAGAGCGGTGGCAGGTCCCTGCCGTGACCGGCACAGCCCCCACGGGCGCCGTGACGAGGGGACGGGCTGATGGTGCGGGGACAGCGACAGGCAGTGGCACTGGGGACAGGTGGCATCAGGGACAGGTGGTGTCAAGGGCAGGTGGCATTGGGGACAGGTGGTGTCAGGGACAGGTGGCAGTTGGGGACAGGCAGTGGCACTGGGGACAGGTGGCATCAGGGACAGGTGGTGTCAAGGGCAGGTGGCATTGGGGACAGGTGGTGTCAGGGACAGGTGGCAGTTGGGGACAGGCAGTGGCACTGGGGACAGGTGGCATCAGGGACAGGTGGTGTCAAGGGCAGGTGGCATTGGGGACAGGTGGTGTCAGGGACAGGTGGCAGTTGGGGACAGGCAGTGGCACTGGGGACAGGTGGCATCAGGGACAGGTGGTGTCAAGGGCAGGTGGCATTGGGGACAGGTGGTGTCAGGGACAGGTGGCAGTTGGGGACAGGCAGTGGCACTGGGGACAGGTGGCATCAGGGACAGGTGGTGTCAAGGGCAGGTGGCATTGGGGACAGGTGGTGTCAGGGACAGGTGGCAGTTGGAGACAGGCAGTGGCACTGGGGACAGGTGGCATCAGGGACAGGTGGTGTCAAGGGCAGGTGGCATTGGGGACAGGTGGTGTCAGGGACAGGTGGCAGTTGGGGACAGGCAGTGGCACTGGGGACAGGTGGCATCAGGGACAGGTGGTGTCAAGGGCAGGTGGCATTGGGGACAGGTGGTGTCAGGGACAGGTGGTGTTGGGGACAGGTGGCATTAGGGACAGGTGGCACTGGGGACAGGCAGTGGCACTGGGGACAAGCAGTGGCATTGGGGACAGGCGGTGGCATTGGGGACAGGTGGTGTCAAGGACAGGTGGCATTGGGGACAGGTGGTGGCGTCAGGGACAGGCGGTGGCATCAGGGACAGGCGGTGTCAAGGACAGGTGGTGGCACTGGGGACAAGCAGTGGCACCAGGGACAGGTGGTGGCAGGGTAGTGAGGTGTCCGTGTGTCCCCATGTCCTTATTGTCCCCGGTGTCCCCTCATCTCCCTGTGTGTCCCTGTGCCCTCCACTGTCCCATGTCCCCCGGTGTCCCCGATGTCCCCCGGTGTCCCCGTGCCACGTGATGAGCCCTTACTCAGCCGAGCGCCGTCGCTGTCGGTGTTCCTGGGGACCGGACGAGGCCGTGTCCCCCTCAGCCCGACACAAAGCCACCCCCGATGTCCCCGTGTCCCCTCGGGGGGCCGGGAGTGGCCCAGGGGACGCCAGAGCGGTGGCAGGTCCCTGCCGTGACCGGCACAGCCCCCACGGGCGCCGTGACGAGGGGACGGGCTGATGGTGCGGGGACAGCTGGGACAGCGGGGACGGCGGGGACACTGGGGACACTGGGGACAGCAAGGACACTGGGGACACTGGGGACACTGGGGACAGCAAGGACACTGGGGACACTGGGGACACTGGGGACAGCAAGGACACTGGGGACACCGGGGACAGCAGGGACATCTGGGACATTGGGGACATCAGGGACACTGGGGACACCGGGGACAAGGGACCATGAAGATGAAGGCCTTTGGGGACAGGGACTTTGGGGACAGGATCATGGGGACAATGGACCTTGAGGACAGAGACCCTGGGGTTGTGACCTATGGGGACAAGGACCCCGGGGACAGGATCTGTGGGGACAGTGACCCCGGGGCAAGGGACCATGAGGATGAGGGCCTTTGGGGACAGGGACTTTGGGGACAGGATCATGGGGACAATGGACCTTGAGGACAGAGACCCTGGGGTTGTGACCTATGGGGACAAGGACCCCGGGGACAGGATCTGTGGGGACAGTGACCCCGGGGCAGGGCGTGCAGGTGAGGGGACAGTGGCACAGGTGGTGGCACTGGCAGGGGCGGTGGCACAGGCAGAGGCGGTGGCACAGGCGGTGGCAGTGGCATAGGCAGGGATGGTGGCATGGGCGGTGGCACAAGGGTGGTGGCACAGGCATGGGTGATGGCACAAGGGTGGTGGCATGGGCAGTGTCAGTGGCACAGGCAGGGGGCGGTGGCACAGGCACAGGCAGTGGCACAGGGGAGGTGGCACAGGCGGTGGCACAGGCATGGGGTGGTGTCACAGGGGCGGTGGCACGGGCAGTGGCACAGGCAGTGGCACAGGGGCGGTGGCGCAGGGCTCATGGCACGGGCGGTGGCACAGGCAGGGGGTGGTGGCACGGGCGGTGGCACGGCTAGGGACACCTGGGGACAGGCTGAACACCTGGGGGCGTCCCTGGGGACACCTGGGGACAGCCTGGCAACAGCCTGGGATGGCCTGGGACAGCCTGGGGAGAGGCTGAACACCTGGGGAGATCCCTGGGGACAGCCTGGGGACAGCCCAGGAACAGGCTGAATACCTGGGGACACCCCTGGGGACAGGCTGAACACCTGGGGACACGTGGGGACAGCCTGGGTAGAGGCTGAACAGCCAAGGACAGACCTGGGGACATCCCTGGGGACAGCCTGGGTACAGGCTGAACACCTGGGGACAGGCTGAACGCCTAGGGACATCCCTGGGGACATCCCCAGGACTCCTGGGGACACAGCTGGGGACAATCCCCAGGGACATCTGGGGACTCATTTGGCTCCGTTTTTGGAGTTCCCCCAAACTGCTCCTCTGGGAGCCTTTTAGGGTCCCTTTCTGGGGGTTTTGAGGGGTTGGTTTTTAAGGTTTTTTGGGTCAGTTTTTAGGAGTTTTGGGGTCAGTTTTTTGGGTTTTTGGGATTGGTTTTTGGGGATTTTGGGGTTTTTGGGGTCCCCTGAGCCCATGGTGCCCCTCAGGTGCAGGAGTTCGAGCACATCAACGGCCGCTGGTCCCTGCCCGAGCTGGGCCCTGGGCAGGTTCTGGCGTGCCTTGGGCAGGTTTTTGGGGTGCCTTGGGCAGGTTTTTGGGGTCCCGTGGGCAGGTTTTGGCGTGCCTTGGGCAGGTTTTTGGGGTGGGTTTTTGGGGATTTTGGGGTTTTTGGGGTCCCCTGAGCCCATGGTGCCCCCCAGTGCAGGAGTTCGAGCACATCAACGGCCGCTGGTCCCTGTCCGAGCTGGGCCCTGGGGAGGTTTTGGGGTCCCTTAGGCAGGTTTTTGGGGTGGATTTTCGGGGTTTTGGGGTTTTTGGGGTCCCCTGAGCCCATGGTGCCCCCCAGTGCAGGAGTTCGAGCACATCAACGGCCGCTGGTCCCTGCCCGAGCTGGCCCCCGAGCCCAGCGCCGACTCCAAGCGCTCGTCCCGCGCCTCCTCCCCCGCCAAGACCGGCCCCCCCAGCCCCGACACAGGGACAGGGCTGGGGACACAGGGACAGGGCTGGGGACATGCTGGTGACATGGCTGGGGGCATGGGAATGTGGGTGGGGACATGGATGGGGACATGGGGCCAGGGATGGGGACACAGGGACATGGCTGGGGACAGGATGGGGACCGATGTCCTGATGTCCCCTGTCCCCAGCCACGCCGGCACCCAGCGAGCGCGGGGACGGGCCAGGGCCACCCCCGGACAGGGACGAGGGTGACACCAGGGACGAGAAGGAACCCAAAGGCCCCGAGAAGATGGAGACAGATGTGAGTGACACAGCTGTCCCCAACCCTGTCCCCTCTGTGTCCTCTCTGTCCCCAGTCATGTCCTGGCTGTCCCCAGCTGTGCCCTCACTGTCCCCATCCCCGTTCCTGTCCCCAGCGCTGTCCACACCCTCCTGTCCCTGTCCTCATCCCTGTCCCTGTCCCCACCCTCCTGTCCCTGTCCCCATCCCCGTTCCTGTCCCCAGCGCCGCTGCAGGGGCGGAGGCCGAGAAGGCTCCGGGGCTGGACAAGGGGGACGAGAAGACCCCGGAGGAGGAGCCCAAGGAGCGCCCGGGGGACCCCGACCCCAAACGAGGTGCTGGGGGCGGGGCTGGGCAGAAGGGGTGTGGCCTGACAGAGTGGGCGGGGCTTAAAATGGGTGTGTGCTAACCCAAACTGGGCGTGGCTCGACAGAAAGGGGTGTGGCCTGACACAGAGTGGGTGGGGCTCGATAGAAAGGGGTGTGGCCTGACACAGAGTGGGTGTGGCTCAACAGAAAGGGGTGTGGCCTGACACAGAGTGGGTGGGGCTCAACAGAAAGGGGTTTGGCCTGACACAGAGTGGGTGGGGCTCAACAGAAAGGGGTGTGGCAGGACACAGAGTGGGTGGGGCTCAACAAAAAGGGGTGTGGCCTAAGGCAGCATAGGTGGTGCTTATTTGAGGGGGCGTGGTCTAACAGGAGTGGGTGGTGCTTAATGAAGAGGCATGGTCTAAGCCAGAGAGGGCGGGGCTTAAGGCATCCCTGTCTCATTTATTGTTGGGGCTGGGGGTGTTTTGGGGGGCCCAAGGGGGGGTCAGACACGTCCCTGACCCCCCCAAATGTGTCCTTGACCCCTCAAACCCACCCTCTGGATATGGGGGACATTGTGGACAGGGTAACAGGGTGACAGAGTGACAGTATGGAACAGCGACAGGTGACAGTGACACAGTGACAGGTGACACGGTGACACAGTGACAGGTGACATGGTGACACAGTGACATGGTGACAGGTGACACATTGACATGGTGACAGGTGACACGGTGACACAGTGACAGGTGACACGGTGACACGGTGACACGGTGGCAGTGGCTCCTTAGCACACAGCCACGTCTCCGGGGATGTTGGGGTCAGGGAGAT